GAGGTGCTCTGTGAGAGAGCTGCCCAGAGTGCACTGCTCTGAATAGTGCCGCAAGTGTGAACATGCTATTGCGCAGGCAGTTGTCCGTGTGAACACACAACAGCGGTTTTCCTTTGGCACTCTCTGAGTGGCACTAGAACTGCCGGGCTGTAACTTTGCCAGTGTAGATCTGCCCTTAGTTCTTTTTTTTTTTAAGAGAGAGAATTTTGCTAATAGAAAACCTGTGGTCTATATTGCAGATTAAAGAGTTAATCAAAGTGAAATGGTAGATATCTTCTTTAATTATTTCTTCTGGACTTATTGTTCAGCATATGTTCTGTTTTTGCAGACTGAATCTGTCACCCAGTCTATGGAACACATGTCTAGGTCTGAAGCATGAGAATGTCAGGCATTATGAAAGCAATAAGCTCCTTAGTGGTATGAGAACGTTTGCAGTATTAAATGATGGGGGTTGTAGTATCTCTGATCAAATTAGCCTTTGTGCTGATTAGAATTAGAGCTATTAAAAGCTTTAAAGCATTCTGAGAAGTTTGAAATGCATATACTTTTTTTCTTTTTGGAAAGAGCAACTTAATGCATATTAGTTGATGATATCAATATATGATTGACTTAATTGTCATTTGGAAGCTAATCTGGAGATTGTGGTATACCTAGTCTATAATTGTTATCCTGTTTGCATACTGCATCTGTTTATCTTGTAAAAATCTGATTGCAAAAACTAGCAGCCCTTTGGTGTTCAGTTCAGCACAACCAGAAACAGAAGAGAGACATGCAGTGCTTTCGTGTGGAGCGACTTCTTTTCTTTCTCTGTTACCGTACACCATTCAAACTGAAAACATGTTTTTGCTATTTGTGCATGAAGAAACATGAAGTGGCTTCTTAGTCACATGCAAGGTTTTGTTTTGGATAAGGATACAACAGTCCACTACAACCTTCATCTTTTTAAAGCTAGCAGTTTCTTAGAAAAATGTCACAGTATGCATATTTCAGTTCCTATGAAACTACTGATGAACTCTAAGTAAGGTTCTGTCAAGTTCTCTTGGCACGTGAATGTCACTTTAACTTTCAGTAACCACCAGCTCTCAAATGGAGATAGTATAAAAGATTGAAGCCCAGCTATGAGTCAAAGATCCAAAATTTAGGAGACAAGGAAAAAATGCAAGAAAGTTGCATACCATCAGTCTTTTAGCCTAAACGTAGTCTATAGTGTCAGTTTTGGAATTCGCTCATTCTGATACTAGTAAATGAAACTACAGCCGGTCTGTGCGGGGGGAAAGTGAACTGGGGGTCTAAAGTGGAGGCTTTTCTTCCAACTGAGATCATTGGAATCTTCCATAAGGGAGTCACCAAGTTTAGTGAGGGGCTGAGTGTGCTATTACACTTCTCAGAAAGGGCAGGGCCTCGGAGAACAGCACTAGCGTGCCTGAGCTGCACTAGCGTGTCTGCTTTCTTTTTGTAGTTGTAGACTGGGAGATGAGTGCAAGCTCTTTGAGAGATGTGATTGCCTTCTGTGATATGCATAACAGGCCAAATTTAAATGGAACCCACTCTGTGAGATAGAAAGCTTTGGTCTCCAGGCTGCTGAGAACCGTCCTTGTCTCTTCTGCACTTAATGCGACGTCTTCTATTCCAGCATTTTGAAGGAAAGCGTTTCAGGCACCTGTATGTGACCACTTCCCGTCCACAGAGAGTTCTAGTCTTATCTCTCTGGCTGGAATTCGACCATGCTTCTAAGGCAGTGATTTGCAAACGTTTTTGATCGTGTAATAGTTTACACTCTTCCTCCTGCCACACAAGTACATCTAATGATTAAAAAAAAAAATCAACATGCAACTCTCATTAAATATTAAAAACAGGAAGGCACTCGTCCAAACAAGCCAACAGTCTGTTGTAATAAGAGCAAAAGCAAAATGGTGATTGTGGTCAATATTTACCACTAAATCCCTGTCGTAACAAAGGGATTAACGTACCATGCAAATTTAACAAATTTGTCACAATGCACAGCAGCATCTAGCGTCAAATGCACAGTGCCATCTGAGGACTTGATATGTCTGTAGAAATCAGCTTTGCTAGTTATTCATGGCTGTGGGTAAAATGTGCGCAGTAAGTTCTCTTCCAAAGCTTCTCGTGCCCCCCCCAGAATACATTCTGTGCCCCCCCAGAGGGGCCTATCCCCAAGTTTGAGAACATCTGTTCTAGAGGTTCAAGTGCTCTTGTGCACAACTCAAGAATATTCCGAGGTTCCTCACTGGAGAGGTTCTGTAGTGTGGTGGGTTGATCTCAGGGCTAGAAGTCAGCAAATCCCAGTTCTGCCACTGACTCATTATATGGTTTAGGGCAAGACCTTTAGCCATCAACCTTGGGCTCAAACCCCACTTTTAGTTGGGGAAAACAATGTTGCAAGTTTTTGTGAGGATTCATTTATTTGGTGGTCTTGCAAGTGTAAGCAGTGTACCTTTGCAATGTATTAACCACTTCCTTTTGTCAGACTGCCGTTTATTCCCTCTTCTGAAATTTCCATTTAAGCAATGCTGACGAGGGGTCAGGACCATAGAGCACATATGGTTGAAATATTTAATTATCCTTTCCAAATACCTTTCCCTCCTCACTGCTAATCCCCATGGGTGGAAGTAGCATCAATGGCATCATGTTTCTCCCGGGAAGCTGCTGCTAGCTTTCAGATTGTACTGGGTCAAGCCACTCATCCACCTAGTCCAATGCCCTGTCTCTGAGTGGGGGCAGTAGCACATCCTTCACAGGAAGTAACCCCAAGATGGACAATTATAGAATAAACTGTTCATAAGGGAAGTTTCTCATTATTACTACCTAGGCCTTATATAGCGCTTTTCATCATAGATCTAAGAGAGCTTTACAAAGATTAGTATCATTATCTGAAACTAAGGAACAAAGGTCAAGTGACTTAATCAAGGTCATCCAAGAGGCCAGTGGCAGAATAGAACCTGTCTCCTGAGCCCTAGTTTGATGCTCTGTCCACTGATTACACTGCCTTCGCTTACCATAGGCAGTTGGTGGTTGCTTACATACCAAAGCATTGAGAGTTTTACATCCTGATTTTCCTTATCCTAGTTAATATAACTGTGGATGTTCTTGTTCATATGCATATGTAATCTTTCTTTAAAAGCCTACTATGCCAACCCATTTTGGGGCAGATCAGGGTTATTTCACTTAGCTCTGCCACTTGTACTTTCTGTGACCTCAACAGGCATTATCTTTTTGCCTCAATTTGCCACAAAGTGCTTTCATTGAAGTAGGAAGCAATAGCTTATATGTAAACTGTAATACAACTCTTCTGTATGTATTGTTCGTAGCTGTTTTTGAAGTAAGAACAATTTTATGATCCTTAAACTATAACAACTACAGAAACAACTTACCACTCTGTGTTTAGAGAAACTAATGCAGTCGTGAAGTGCTTGTATTTGCCAACGTATTAAAATTGAGATTGGTTTGTCTCCACCTACTGGAAGTTGATAGCAAATACTGCAGATCCAGACTAGTGAGTTTAATTAACTGGAAGGAAAATGACAAGTGTGCTAAATGGAAGTCTTGACCTTAATTGAGGGAAGTCCTCAGGGTGTTTAATTGTCCCAAAAATATTGATTCTAGAGTTAGAAGCTGCCAGACCAAACTGGTGAACAAGTTAAAAATATCAGAGGGGTAGCCGTGTTAGTCTGAATCTGTAAAAAGCAACA